CATTAAGGTTATTTTTTCAAAGAGATTTCGACGGCTTCAGAGAGACTTTTTCAAAAGCTGATCAACATCTGTATAGTCTGTTTGCTTAGATACGGTTGCCTTTGTGTCGTGCCACCTTTGCACGTACTGCATCTTGGCGCAGGTGATACCGTGACATCAAAAGTCACCACGTGCGGCGTACACCCGCAGGAGCAGGAGAATTTGACATTTTAAAACGAAGTCACGAAGTGCAGTAGTGAAAGGTTCCTTGCTACCTAACTTCTTTTAAATATTAATATTCGTATTTTATTACAATAACCATAAGAATAAAATAGAACACTATTTTATTCTTAGAATAGAAAAACATTTATTTAACATACACCCTAAAAAGAATAAAATAAAAGCAAAATTATAAGTGCGCCTCCGGATATACATAGGCTGCACTAAAAGTATCGGGAATGGAATATTTCCACTGTTCCTGTCATATTAAAATCTTTTAAATTGAAAGCTCTTTGGTTTTAAAAATCGAATACCATTTATTTATTTAAAAAAAGATTCTCGGTCTTGTCACAAGGTTTTGTCAAACTTGTTTAGTCGTTGAGAAAATGGAATTGACTCGAGAAAATTCAAGAGCGATGACTTATTATGACTTTCGAAGTGGTTTAACACAAAAACAGTGTGTTGACCGGATGATTTCTGCATTTGGTGATGAAGCCTCATCCAAAACCACAATTTATCGCTGGTTTGCTGAATTTCAACGTGGACGTGTCAAGCTCAGTGATGATCCCCGTCAAGGTCGTCCAAAAACTGCAGTCACCCAAGAAAACGTTGATGCTGTGTGTAAGCTGATTGAGGAAGATCGATATGTGACATACCGCGAAATTCAGGCAACTTTAGACATTGGCATGAGTCAAATACAAATAATCTTGCATGAACAATTAGGTGTAAAAAGCTGTTTTCCCGATGGATACCGCATTTGCTCTGTGAAGAGTAAAAAGTGGCTCGCGTTACTTGGTGCGTCAGAACTCTCGAAAGATTCCACGCAGGATCCTCAAATGCTGTATGCAACATCGTATCAGGTGACGAATCCTGGATATATGCGTACGAACCCGAAACAAAAAACCAGTCACGAGTTTGGGTGTTCGAAAATGAGTTAAAGCCAACAAAAATTGTTCGTTCACGGAGTGTTGCAAAAAAACTGGTGGCCACGTTTGTCTCCAAAACCGGCCATGTTACGACTATTCCTCTTGAGGGACAAAGAACGGTTAATGCAGAATGGTATGCTAGCATTTGTATGCCACAGGTCGTTTCTGAACTCCGTAAAGAGAACTGCAACCGCCGCATCATCCTCCACCACGACAATACGAGTTCTCACACCGCACACAGAACAAAAGAGTTTTTAGAGCAAGAAAACATAGAATTATTAGACCATCTGCCGTACAGCCCCGACCTAAGCCCTAATGATTTCTATACTTTCCCTAAAATAAAGAATTAATTGCGTGGACAGAGATTTTCATCACCTGAAGAAAATGTGGACGCCTACAAAACGGCAATTTTGGAGACCCCAACTTCCGAATAGAATGGTTGCTTCAATGATTGGTTCCATCGTATGGAAAAATGTGTCAAATTTCGCGGAGAATACTTCGAAAAGCAATAAATACATTTTTAAATAGTAATGTTGTGTCACTTCCTTGATTCCCGAAATTTTCAGTGCCGCCCTCGTACCAACGCTATCCTAGCGAACGGACTATATTAATAATGGAACAGATTTAAAGGAAAACTTTTGAAAAAGTTAATTTTTTGCAGTGTGTACCCAAAATGTATGTACTATACTAGAATTATTTTGTCCGTGCAATTTGGGTCATTAATCATCGGAGTATTTCGCTCTCTCTCCCACTCACGGGCCTTAGGGGCGAGCATAGTGATGCGCATTATTGTTGTCGATAAGCGTTATCGATAGTGTATTTAGTTTTGTCATTATGTGAGTTAGTGACAAAAATGAAAAAAAAAATTAGATAAAACAACGTATTTATTAAAATAAGAATAATAATGATTAAAAATAAAAAATATCATATTTTGTATTAAATTTTTATTAAGTTGTATTTCTTACAAAAAAGATGAAAGAATATTGACCAATTAGCCTGCCCCCTTTCCCGTTTTTGTGTTTAAGCTGCCTTATACATCCTTGTCTAGCCAAATTCGTTTGCGGCTGTGATTTTGGTTCACCCAAGTCATATCTAAATAAATTCTTGGGCGAGTGTCTTCACTATCTCTCAGGGTCTTGAGTTTTCTCAAGAATTGTAGCCGCGCACAAACGATGTCAGTCATTTCCATCAATTGTTTACGACAATCTGGAGCTTGTGTGTACTTGTTCTTTACGCAAGTTCTATGAGTATTTTACGCATAGAAGAAATAGAACACTGGAATCTGTCAATTCTTTCTTTTGCTGTACTCAAAATTTTAGCCGTGGAAGGATATTCACCGTCGCGATAAAACGATGACACTATTAGTTTAATTACATTTTTGTTAAAATGGTCTAACGCAGTTACTGTACAAGGCCGATAGACGCTTTCTCGCGGAGAGCTAACTTCTCCCTTTATACACTCTTTTTTTAATTTTGTCGACCGCTCTAACACTCACACCACATATCGCCGCAGCAAGTTCCCGAGAATGGCAGAAATTAACACTTTGTAACTTTTCAGAACTATTTTCATTTCAGTAAAAAATGTTAAAACATTGTTGATAACAACACGTGCTTATGCTGGTATTTTGGTGTTAACAGGCAACATATTATTTTGAATAAATTCTGCCATTTTGATATAAAACAAAGGAGCAGTCATTGTGTCACTAAAGAAATTCAGAGAGCGAATGCGCAAAAACAAATTTCTCTTCGATATATGTACTAAATTATCATTGCACTAATTTGCAGGTATTAGGCGGGGGTAATAATGGATAACAAATGACTCATAACATAACAATGTCGCACCACCTTTTATATACCGCACCGCCGACGTGTACCTGCCTGCGATGATTCATTTGTTGTTATCGATAATGGCGTTGCGCGCGCGCAACATGCTCACCGCCCTAGCTGGGCTGAGGCCGGGCTATGATTTATGACCCCAACTGCACGGACTAAATAACTTTACTATAGGAACTTTACTATAGGCTTATTTTTCCACCTAAAGCGTCGATGTGTTCGAATATCGTTATTTTTCTTCTGACATTTATTGTACAATAATACCTTTGAATTGATGTTCAACATCGTTGTTATTATAAGTTTTAGGCATGACCAAAAATATTGAAATATCGATATTTGCTTATAAAAGTATCGATACATATCGTCAACATTTTTAATCGTGATATGTCGATGTTCGGTATTTATTTTTGTCTTGCGAAATAATATTAATTTCGTTTTTTTTTGTGTAACTGGTTTTTTATTTAATATAACTAAAGCCGTCTAGTGATTTTCGTAGTTCTCGCTGCAGAACGACCATAAAGACAGTTTTGTGTTATTAAATAATTGTTTGACCTTCAACATATAAAAAAACATTCAAAACTTTTATGAATTTTGAATGTTTTGGGAATATGTATCAATAATCTCTAATGCTTAACAAATATGATGATATTGCGATATTTTTCAATCGATATTTATCGATACTGTTTAAAAACATCGGATAAATAATCGATATGTTTCTTTTTCTTGCCCATCACTATAGTGTTTTTCTACGGCGTAGTATGGTAGTATGTCATAGACTCGTAGAGTAGAAAAGTACCAACCAAAAAAACCAAAAGCTGTCACTTGTCAGGCTTAGGCTTATAAATGTGACAACTCGGAAAAATTACGAGTCGAGTTAACTCGATTATGTATTTTTGGTTTTAATCTTAGTTATAGTAGGTATCTACCTACCTACCTACCTTTATTTAACAACAAAACTAGCTATATACGGTATATAGTAGTCTTCACGCAACATTATTATTCTAGCTTTAAGATGTACGTACATAAGCCATTACTAGTTTAATTATCTCAGTCAAAATATCTTTAATAAATGATTATTTTTTCAAATTCAAAATATTTATTGTAAGTAAAACTTAAATGTTACATTTGGCGTTAATTTAAAATATCTTAAGTAAAGCGTTAGTTTAAGTATCTTACAACTTAACCACCCTTTTCGGGTATTACAATAATAATTCTGTGACTTACAAAACTATATTGATCATAATGAATTATAAAAGAAATTAAATTACATAACTTAGATATTAATATAATAATTATAAATTATTTGGGTTGTAGCTAAATTATAATAATAATACGTGGTAGAGCCATGCTGCAGCTATATTAGTAGTATATTTGTAGCACGAATGCGTCGGCTCGACCGGAGAAGGACCACGCTCTCACAGAAAACCAGTGTAAAATAGCAGTTTAACGCTGCTGTTTTTCGTATGGTGAGTGTAGAGAACCGGAGACCCTTTTTACTGGCAAAGAGGCATTCCATCTTAGTCCTCACGGGTGACAACGCATCTGCATCTTGAGTCTGTATTGAGGATAGATGTAGATGTCTGTGGGTCACAGTAACCACTTACCATCAGGTGGACTGTATGCTCGCTTGTCATCCTATCCTATAAAAAAAAAATAAGCTAAATACTCTTTGAAACACAAAACGCGCACACAACGAACGAATCGCGCTCTTACTCTTTTGCTGGTTCACTTGATCTGTTCATGTACAGCAGCCCAAACTCGAGTTAGGGAGATCCTACTCGAGTTATTTCGAGTTAAGGGCAACTCGAGTTAGTTCGAGTTAATAACTCGAGTTGACCCATCACTACTCAGGCTGTCACTGTCATAGAGCTTAGACAGAGTACTTTTATATATATAGGAAATAGACACAAACAAAGTATGAAATTTTATTATGTTTTGTGGTGTGAAAAATTGATTTGTTTAGTTTTAGATCTTTTCAATATTCCGTGAGAAGTTATTCAGTTATCTAGATTTAACTTTTCTTATTAAATTATTTCAAATTAAAATGTCTCTTTTAAAAGACGACTGCCCAAGTGAAAACGAAACCGTTTCTTGTCCAGTTTGTAATCGAGAGTTTGAAAAAATAAATATAGAAGAACATGTTAACAAATGTTTGTTTCTAAACACGGTTGCAGAAAAAAAAGCAAAGAGGAATAACTCGCATTTGAAAGGAAATACCTTAGGGAAAAAGATGAAATTAGATTCAAATTTCTCATCTAAAGACAAAGTAGGCAATAGTAATATAATATTATCAGTTTTATCTTTTTAATTGTAATATATTTTTTACATAGACCAACAGATCAATATGTTCAATTGGCAGTGGTTCGGCCACAGAGCTTGAAGAAATGACAACCGTTAGGTGAGAAAGGTGCTCGAGTAGCAGCCTTGTACCGGTAATGGAAGGGCTTCCCACTAGATGGGGGTGACGAGCTAGTAAGACATGCAGGAAGTGCATGAATGCAGGTAGCTCAGGACTAAGCTTTGTGGCATACATTTGGAGAAGGCCTATGTATAGCTATTGACTTGTGAAATGCTGTAATGTTGATGATGATGATCATGAAAACCAAAAAATATTGGTATACTGTACCTAATGTATAGAATAGAATATTTTTTATTCAATATACATTACATGTGTAATTCTTATTGAAAGTCATTTTTTACTTTACCACTGGTTTGAAAGAACACCCTCTGTCCTGGGAAGAACCAGCAAGAAATCCAGCGGGACTTTTTGTTTAAAATAAATTTTACAATATAAATGATTACAAACTATTTACAAAATTTATTTTAGAGACTCCTTGGAAGCGATCACCTCATTCCCAGGGATTATTATCAACCATGTATTCATTTATACTATAATAACCCTTTTTATACAGTTTCAGCTTAATAAATCATTTAAACTTGGTAATAGAGAGAACCTGTACACTTTCCGGGACCTTGTTGTAATAGCGTATACATTGCCCCAAGAATGAATTACTGACTCTGTGGAGTCGAGAAACTGGTATCACTAGCTTGTGTTTGTTCCTAGTGTTTACAGAATGTATATCACTTCTTTTACTAAAACTATCTTTGTTTTTGTGAACATACATTAAATTTTTGTAAATATACTGAGAGGCCAAAGTTAATATATTAATTTCTTTAAATTTATCTCTAAGAGACTATATTTTATATAACTTATTTGGTATCAGGAATCAACAAGAGAATCACATACTACAAGTCTTCCAAGTCCGAGTACACAAAAACTAAAGTTACATGAAGGTGTCCCATTAGCAGAGCAAATGAGACCACTTCATTTAGATGACATAGTTGGTCAAATGGAAGCCTTTGGACCAGGTTCTATGCTACGGTCTATATTGGAACAAAAGAAGGTTCCCAACATGATTTTATGGGGCCCACCAGGCTGTGGAAAGGTAAAGGCATATGATTTGGTCACTATCACTTAGTTGTCAAGTTTTATAAACTAATAAGGTTATTCCATTATTTACTATGAAAACAACTGCCTTTTTCAGACATCAGTAGCCAATGTTATAGCCCAAATTTGTAAAGAAAGTAATAATCTTCGGTTTGTCAAACTATCTGCAACAATGGCTGGAGTAAATGATATAAAAGAAGTAGTTAAAATTGCCAAAAATGAGGCACAGTACAAAAGACAGACTGTCCTTTTTATGGATGAGATACATAGGTAGGTACTACGTTCTACATTTAAATTATAATAGGCCACAGAATAAATAATAGTATAAGAACAGAAGAATCTCATATCTGATAGCAAACTTGCGAGTTTAAACCTAGTTACAATGTCTCTATTGTTCATAATACTTTAGATGTTGGATGCAACCTTTAAAAATAGCCTACTGATTGTTGCGGCGTGCATAGTAAATCAAAATGCACCTTACGTCCATGTGTGAGAGCCTGTATCACTTAGCTGGTTACACACTTGTTAAGGGCTCTCCTACTGTAAGGGTGTTGTGAGAAATCAAATTGAATCCTTTGATATTAGTTAGTAGACCGAGGTGTTATTTGGTGATAATAAAAACACTATTGTTCAATGTGAACAAGGTTAATATGCAACATTTAGAAAAATTAAGATTATAACAACGTGAACATCTTTGAAATGCACATAATTTATCTACTTACTATTTTCTGTTTCACATTTTTTATAAATAATAATCTTAATATCTATTAAGAGCAAGTACATCTGTACTTACATCGCGGAATTTTCTTTATAAATTTTCGATAAGAACAACTATACCATTAGTTATTTTCATATAACTTAATCAGTTTATGCAACACACCATAGCGCACGCTAATGAAAGCACTCAAGAGCCACGTTTTTTCAGACTTTGCCGAAAAATACCATCATTACATAACGAAATATCCATAAATTATAACGAAATATCCATAAATTATATACCTAAACCTTGCTTGAGAATCGGTCTGTCAATTGTTGGAAACCGAATGGAAATCCTCACAAAATCTCTAGCTAACAAGTTAACCGACATGTGGGGTGGTATGCAGACCGAAATAATTCATATAGTCAGTTCTGCAAAGGGTTTAATCACGGTTAGCCTCTAGGATCATCTGTTGTGACTCGGAAACCGTTAAAAACCACTCCGAGCTCAAATGCAGAAGGCAGCACTCCTCGAATCGCCCGCATCGTTCACTGATTTCTTTCGTTTTCCCTCTAACCCACAGTCGTTTGGTCTTCCTGCTAAGGGCTTCCCTTCTGCTTGGGTTTTATTTATCTAACCATATTTGATTGCATATATTCTATTATTTCATTTTTTTTCATTATCTTATACATTATGTTTAAACTTAGTATATCTTAATATTATTTTTTTTAACTTATAAGCCAGTGCTTGACCATAATCCCACCTGGTGGTAAGTGGTGATGCATCCTTAGATTGTCTTAGCGTAACAAAAGCCTATTCACTCTTACCTTGAAGACGCCCAGATGATACTCGGACGGAAAGATTGATGCTGACAAATTTTTCTACTCCTTTCCTGTATGCATTACAAAAGACGAAGCAAACCGTTTGGTTCTAATGCATGGAATATCGACAACAAAGGGGTGGAGACCCGCCGGCCGCTCGGTTGTTCGATGGTGAAAAGGAGAGGGAGGACTTAAAGCGTGTAATTCCTGTGCACACCCAATGAAGTGCGTCGAAATAGAATACCGAGAGGCTTGCTATTCTGCGTCTTTGCTCGAGGCTGACAAGATTGGTTTCAGCCAAATCAAGGTCATCAACGAGCCTCTTAGCACATCTCTCCACTGAGTCCAACGCTGCCAGGTGGCATTTTGCAGCCCCAACCCATATGTGACAGCAGTACTCCATGCAGGACCGAACTTGCACTTTATAAGTATCTATAATGCCAGACACCAGACAAGGACACAGAGAAATATTTTAATATAATAATGATATTATTCCAATACATATAATATAATCTTGAATCAATAAAAATAAATTTGAATTTGGTTTTTTTTTTGGAATTGATCACCAATAATTTTCATTACAATCCATCACAACTGCTCTGCTGCCGGCTGCTGAACATAGGCCTGCCCCAACGACTGTCATACAACAACTTTCTGCTAGGTTGTCTCTGTACTACCAGGTTTTTGGACCCCCAACTGGTGTGCCACATTGCTAAGCTTATCAGAACGAGGCTGCCAACTGCGCCTTTATGCGTTGGATAATGTCGATACTGCTTTTGCTGTGAATAATCTTAGTTACGCATTCATAGCGCTCTCCAATATGCACTGAGCGAGACTTTCTCATGAGGCTAAAAGTTAAGGATCATGTCTCGGTTCAGTTCCATCATTTGGTCATTGTTTGCATAATGCATTGGTTGTACATTTTTGTTTTAAGACTGACGAATTTTGGACTACCGAAACGAGTTCTTAGTTCGTCCTCGTCTACTTATAAAATGGTAGATGAGAAGAGGCCAGAAACATTCACATTAAAAAAAGTCAATAAATACTACTTACTTACTTACTTACTTATCTTCACGCACAATCCCTGACGGGGTAGCCAGAGAGAACAGATCGCCAAGTGTCACGATCCTTACATACCTCTTTCGCTTCTTTCAGATTCATTATCTTCTTCATACATGCACATCTAGGTATCCGAGTACTCTTGACCCTACCCTCTTCGAGCAATTTGCTCACATGGTCTTCGAAAGTTAGTCTCGGTCTACCTCGACACCTTTTAATATTAACTTTCGCGCTATATATTTTCTTCACCATTCGGTCTTCACTCATTCGCTCAACGTGCCCAAACCACCGAAGCACGCCCTTATCAATTTTTGTGATAAGGTCATCTTTCAAACCTGCCATATTGCGAATCTCTTCGTTTCGCTTTCGGTCGGCCATGGTAACGCCGCACATTTTACGAAGAGATCGCATCTCCACTGCATTCAACTTGCTTTTATGCTTCTTCTGGCATACCCAGGTTTCGCTGCCATATAACAAAGTCGGTACCAACACTGCGTTATGTATTGCAAGGCGTGCACTCTTCACTACGCCTTGCCTTTTGACTAACGCAGTCAGGGCACCATTGACTTTGTTCCCGGCAGCGACACGCCTGTCCACATCTAAATCACATCTTCCATCCCGGCTAAAAGCACTCCCCAAGTATACAATTTTATTTACTTGTTCTAGACATTCCTGATTTACCCATATTTCACACTTCGTTCTCTCTTCGTCCCTTTCAAATACCAGAACCTTAGTTTTATTAGCGTTCAAACGGAGACCTTTAATTTCACATTCCTCTTTCATACACGTGACTAATGACTGCAGTTCTGCCTCTGATGGTGCAATAAGCACTGCATCATCAGCATACAGCAGACAATTTATTTTAATGTCACCCAATTTCACACCCAAACAGCTATCTTTCAGCTTTTGTAAACAGCTGTCGAGATACAGTATGAACAGCCAGGAAGACATGACACAACCCTGTTTTACGCCCGTTTGGACGCTAAACATGGGTGACAGGTCATGCCCTACCAAATAAATACGAAGTAAAGAATATAAAACAATATTACGATATTTGTTATATTAAACTATAATTATATTACACCACAATTATTCATTTATTGTTGCTTTAGGTGTATCTTTTTTACAATCTATACATATAATAAAACTGTAAATAGCAGATGTCTGTACATTTTATATTTTTGTAATAAAAGTGATTGAGGGGTACTAAAAATAAGTAATTAAATACATTTCTACCATTTTTAGAATTTTCTGTCTGTCTGTCTGTCTGTCTGTCTGTCTGTTTGTTTGTTAACGTATCACGTATAAAGTACTAATTTATATCATAAGAATTGTTAAGGAAATTATAAAGTATATCTTCGGGTTACATTTAGTCTTTATTTCATTAAAATCAGTTCATTCCATCAAAAGTTATGATAAATATTCTGAAGTATGGGTAGGGAAGTATAGGTACGAATTTGCTCAACGGTGGCTTTGTTTGAGTCATCAGGTGCATTTTAAACTAATATCATATCATAAATCATAGTTAAATTATGTAAAATAATGATATAATTATGTATATCTAAAACGCAGTAAACAAAAGTGTTAAAAAACGTATTAAATATATTATACAAAAATATATTAACCTTATTAACTAAATCTGAAGCACAATAGTTTTCCCATTTCTTCGATAGATGGTGGTGTTGTGAAAATGTAATGCAATTGCAATGTTTTTTTTTTCCTGTAGATGAGTTTTCATATTTACTGCTAATCTTTATTATATTACTCGCTGCCCTACTGCGTGTTGATAAACTCAATTTATTCTTTACCGCCGAGTACTCTATGTGGTAAATCAAATTTTAAAAGAGCTATTAACAAATCGTTGGTTTTGGCGAGAGTCAAACTTTATTTTTTGCTTACTGTGCAGGCACTGATTTATAAGTACTCTTGCGTTTTATATAATGTATCAATCGCGTCAATTAATCTCTTTTATTTTTAGAATTGATGTTAGCAGCGCCATCTCTCTTTAAATATATACATATAATAAAAATGATGATAACATATTGTGTCTCTTTCTGTACATTGTATAGGTATATATTTTGGTGGCTAAAATCATTATGGGGAACTGAAAATAATTAAAAAAGAACATTTTATAATTTTTAGAATTGTCTGTATGTCTATTTGTCTGTTATTATATGAACGCATCACGTCTAAAGTAAACATCTTTTATTTTCAAAGAAATCGTTAAGAAAATCATAAAGCGTATCTTCGAGTTACATTTAATCTTTGTTTTATTAAAATTGGTTAATTCTATCGAAAGTAATGATTATTATTTTGAAATGTAGGTTCGAATTTGTTCAATGGCGCCATAAAATCTCAGAAATAGTAATAAAAAGATTTGTGTGTAAAAAAACGTTCCATAATAATTAATATATTTATACTTAAAACACAAAAAGAGATTTAAAAAGGATGTTTTCTCACACAAAGGACGTAATAGATGGAGTTGTACAAATTACAAACTTTTCTGAATTGCTGTGTTGAGATTGGAATGTATAGCGCGCATTTCGAAATTTTAGCCCTAGCTTAATCCAGCGGTTTTTGGTGTATTTAGCACACATTTCAATATTTTAGCGACTAGCGGGTTATTAACTCTTTTATAGCAGCACTGTTAGTCCACATTAGCGATAATAATAATAATGACCTTTATTATTTTTTCCCACAAATAGTACATTGCAGTTTATCTTTTTCAAACATATTTTTTCCACAAAACAAAGAGCATAGGAGACGAGTCCAAACTAGGATACCCTGTGCTATGGATCTCCTGGCTTCCCCTTTAGGATGATCAACTTGATTTTTTTACCGACGACTATAAGCGGGGAAACCCCTTTATTAAAGTTTTTGTTCATGGTTTTGGCAACGCATTTATTTTGCTTTATTCAGTTTCAGTCAGTTGCTTAGAGCACAGCTAAGTTAAAAGTTACTTAGAAGTTATAACACAAAGAAACTGTGTAGCAACCGCAATCAGATGCTGACATCTGAAACTAAGTTGCGAAATACATTGCACTTTAAAACAATTAATGACATTTTTATTGTTCGTACAGTACTAACTACTGTTGACAGCAATTGCCATAATTATAAGTCGATGTCCTGCGAAGTATTGATACATCAAAAAAATATTGCCAGAAAAAAAACTTAATGTTGTTTTCTTTATTATGATTATATAAAAAAACACAAACTTTGTTTGTAGTTAATTTAGCGCGAAATCTAGGGCTTTTTTAAAGCGCTGTTTTCATGAAATCTAGCGCTTTTTGTGTTGTCCTAGAGCTGAATTAGTTTTTTTTTATCTGGCAGCACTGCCCAAAAACCCTCTATTAAGAAGTAACTTTCCTTTCAGTTTTAAGCGCGTTCAGTTCCCAGTTACAGTGAGCGTGTGTTATGCGATGACCGTAAATAAAGCGCAAGGTCAAACTTTACGCGTTGTAGGAGTGTACCTCAGTACTGACTGTTTTGCACATGGCCAACTCTATGTTGCTTTTTCCCGCGTTAGTAGCCCCCGTAACCTTTTAGTGTACACCCCGGCTAAGCCTACTTCTCACGTCGTTTACACAGAAGCTCTATCATACACGACTTAGAACTTTGATGATAATGATTTATTTAGTTACCACTTATTGATACAGTAATGAAATAAATCGTTTAATATTCTCTTACCTAAACGACAAATTGTTTATGTAAAACCTGTATACGCGAGCTACGCCGCGGGCACAGCTAGTTTATAATAAACGTTTATACAATGCAAAGCATTAACCGATTCGTTGCGGCACCGATTTTCGACAACTGTTAGCTGTGGTGGCGAACAAATATTTCTTCACAGACTTTGATGACACGCCTATTGTGCCATCAGCCATGTGTAAAAGTAATGTCCTTTTTTATGTTTGTTTCACTTGTTTAGACCTAATTAAGTTTAGTTGACATCAAACATCAGTTACAAACTAAAGGATACTTGTTTTTAGTGGGTAACTACGTGTTTTTCTACGTATTTTTTTCGAAATTGAGAGTAAGTGAGTTTTTTATGCAGAGATTACAAACCTTTGTACTATTTTTTGTTTTATAAAAAAATCATTTATATAAGTAGGTACAGCTAAATCACCCTGGAAAGCCTCGGTTTTTTATAATTAAATTTGCACCTAATAATAACATTTGTAAATATCAAACGATCAAGAACCTTAATTTGGAAAAAAATAAGGTTTATGATTCATTGATATTTACAAATGTTAAATATTATTTAATGTTATACAATTGTAAAAGTAAAGTCGATCTGAAAACGTCTAATTAGTAAGAATAGCAAAACAAGTGTTTTCAAAAGGGAAAAAACGCCGGCGCTATACGGCGGCGCGGCGGATTGACAAAATACTATTATTATCGAACTTTTTTTATGCATGAACGGTTTCGAACTGTTTCAAGCAAAAATAAAACTTATGCCATATCACAAGAGCACATTGTACTTCGTAGGTCTATTCGGCCATATGATAGTAATAAGACAGCAGTTCAACCATTTTAAGTAAAATTAAACAATGAGACAAACGCATTGTTATTTTTTTTAATAGGAGACTTGTTTTCCAGAAATTTATTTACAACTTGAGCTTGTGAGCGATCGCAATTAGTGCTATTATTTGTTACTTATTAGACTATTTTTCCACAACATGTTTTAAAACCAACAAAGTAAAAAGAGTACCATGTACAAGCTAAAAAAAGGTAGTCAACCTCTAAAATTTCAAATTTTCAAAATATCCAGTAACGAAGCCGCAGGCATGAACTACTTATAAAATAATGAATATTTTGGTCTGGATAAATTTTCCAAAAACGCAATTTGAGCGAGTTATAACGATTTTTAAAAAGACACGACTTGTGTGTCATACGCCACACACAAAAGTAACCGATGGCACGCCAGGCGTGCCATCAGCACTGAACCGATTAACCGTGTAGTGGCGGAATACCCATTATCCACTATCGTTTCGTATGTGTCGACAGAGGGAAATAAACTAGGAGATTGGAAGCATCGTCTTCCTAATAACGGCTAAAAAACTGCTGTTGCCAACCTGCCTGCCAAACGTGACAACTATGGCTAACTTTCCCTATACGAGACAATCTATAAATGGGGCATTTTGTTACCTGTAACTGTATGATATTTGAAAAAAATTCAAAAAAAATTTGCAAATTTCCCCCTATATTGGAATCTATGAAGGAGGCATATGTTCAGCAGTTGATTTTCATAGGCAGTAATGGATGGAATGGATGGATGGATAGGTGTAGGCATAGACACCTATATATTACCATCAAACATTAGGGCTACATCGTTTACTTTAGTCGCCAGTTCGCCAGGTGGATGGTTTGCTTGTTTGTCACCCTTACTTTTGTAAGAAAAAGTCTTGTCATTTTATCTAATTTCAGTGTCAATCCGATTATGATTCATCTTCTTGTAGTAGAATTTGTCATGTTTGCTTAATTTGTTTATTTTGTTCCAGATTTAATAAACTTCAACAAGATAGTTTCCTAGCACATGTTGAGAATGGCACTATAGTTTTAATTGGTGCAACAACCGAAAATCCTTCATTTAGTTTAAATAACGCTCTATTAAGTCGATGCAGGGTTGTAGTTATGTCAAAGTTGAGCGTTAATGATGTCCTTCAAATATTAGAAAGAACAGTTGAACGGAAAAAATTAGCTATTATTGTAAATTCCATTAAAGATATAACTGAAGAAAAATCCGAATTACCGTACGTTACGCAAACTAGTCACGACTTAGTACTTAATGAAAAATTTTAGACAAAGTTCTAACATGTATTCATTTTCAGAGATACTGCAATTATTGAAAATAGTTCACTTAACTGGCTGGCAGAAATATGTGATGGTGATGCACGTATTGCACTTGGTGCTCTTGAACTCGCTCTTACTGTTGCAAAAGGTCAATTAGGCACAAAAAATAGTAATGCTGCGCCTGTTATCACTTTAGATGATTTAAAAAATGGAATAAAGGTGATTGAAATGTATGCAAACATATTATATGTAACAGATTACACCTGCTATAACACACGGGGCTTTGCTCAAGTCTGTGATTTATTTAATGCTTAGCGGCAATATATTATAGGAAGACTTGTATGTATAAGAATGAAATGAGAAATTCACCATCACAGACTCGATCTTTTTTTTTTTACTTTTTAAGAAACCACCTGCCTGACGGTGAAAGAAAACATCGTGAGGAGACCTGCATATCCGTGAAATAAAAATATTTCGTGAACATGTGAAGTCTATTAATCATTGCTTCATCATCCACTCAGAAATGTGGCGTCATCTCATCTGTGCCTAGCATTGAGAGACGTCCCAGAAATAGGCTGTAACTTAACTTTAAGATATTATTATACATATTATATACTTTTTATTATGGACCCATTCACTTCTGTGAAATGATAAATTATAATATAAAAACCATATCTTTGATAAAATTTGCATGTGTTATTATTACTTATTCTTTAGAGATCACATGTGCTCTATGACCGTCAAGGTGAAGAACATTACAATATAATATCGGCAATACATAAATCAATTCGAGCAAGTGATGATAACGCAGCCCTTTATTGGACTACGCGAGCGCTTCATTCTGGTGAAAATCCCTTATACATAGCACGACGACTGGTGCGAATTGCATGTGAGGACGTCGGTAAAAGCTTATTTATTTTATTAAATTAATCTTATAATTATTGAATTATTCTAAAGTTGGTATTACTATTGAATTATTTTTAAGTTACTATTATTATTTAATTATTTTAATAATAATAATAAATAAATAATATATTAATATAATAATTAACTACGTACTAAGTAGTTACTGTGTTCGGCATGCGTCGCATTGCATTTAATTGTCTGAAACATTTGCGTGCGCGTGCACAACTCACCACATATTTCGTTTATAGCTACAAAAAATTGTTTCTGTTTAATTAACACGGATTTATTTTGACTGCTTGATACCGGTGATTCATATCTTGTTACCGAAAAAAAATTTCAAATAATTAATGAACGGGACGGTTTACTATAGTGAAATTTAAAAAAGCTTCCTAAGGATTAAAGTCTAAAGCTAATACAAATAATCAAATAAGAACGTATCGAAACACTTAAAAACTTCGCCTCTTAAAATTGCACGGGCTTTAGCCAGCTAAGTAGTTTAAAAAAAATGATGTCTGTTGATAAAATAGTTGAAGCTATGTACTTAACTGTCGGTGTTTACGCCCGAACGCTGATTTCGGGATTGACGTTAGAGGGCGCGCAACTCGGCGATACCGGTTTGAAGTTCGGCCCAGCGTGGCAAGTGGCGCGCGGGTCGCAAGCGCAGCAATCGTCTGTAAGCGGTGCTGACGTGAGCACGCGGTCAATTCTGTTAGGGAACTCGGAATAATTAGGTGCGGCCCGTAAATATACGGTCTAGGATTTTGTGACGCGCATTCCTGCTGGAGAGCTTCCCGGGACTTATTGGGTCCGACTCAGAATCTGTATAAGTGCATTCGACAATATTAGCTAGTGCGGCCTCTGACATTCTAGAACTAACTGTTGCAACGCGAAACGGTAGCGACCTTTGGTCCAGAGGCTCCGTGTGTGTTTTGTGCGGTAACCTTATACCCCGCGATAGTTAGCGGCTTCTGTAAGTTAGTTAATCGCACGATAGAGTTAATTGACTATCATCGTGAAGAACGAGGAAAGTGACTGTGGACAACCTCGGAAGCCCCCCTCAAGTTGGAGGGGTGTCGATGCTCGGGCTGCTGCCGACGGCCAAGGTCTAGGTTCAATCACCATCAGTCACACCCAGATACACATCACATCACTTATTTCCCTTTCACTACACAACCACATGTGGCCTGACCCACTCCGGAGGGACCAGTCGCCTTGGATATAGGTAAGTAAGCTCCGCCTAATTCCTCTGCCGGTCGACTGGCCGTAGTATAGAACGCTCCCCCATATATTTTAGTGTAATTCGAGAGATTCCACGTGGCCACATTGAGGCTCGACCTACGTCTGCTCGGGAAGTCTTCAGCTCATGGGCCCCTGAGGATTTGACCCTTTAAGGGAGCAGCCGTATGCCGTAACAAACTGGTAGCAGAGCGTGGTTCCGGGTTCGATTCCCGGTCGATCCCGACCATAGTGTTTGATAAACATTAAACAATTCTGGTGGCAGAGAGCGTTGGTTTGATTGGTTTAATTTGTATCTACAATCACGCCCGTCCGTAATACGTAAAAATATTTTTTTGTACGTAATAATAGAATTATTTCCCTTTGTTGTTTGTTGCTTGCCTTTTTTTTTAGTAGGTAGTTTGAAAAGCCGCGCCCTAGATTGCGCAAGCGGGAGTTTTTCTAGAGATATACGTCATGTAGGTAGATGGTTATTTTTACGTAATCGGTTAATTATCGTTGTCGGATAGTTGTAGTGGATTACTTATCGAAGGGTCGATTTCCGAGCTAGGCATTTTTTGTTGATCGACTGTGATGTGTATCTTTTGTAATTTGTATTTGAACTAAAGAGTAGTAATTGTATTTGCGCAATTTGAATTTAACTTGATTTGATCGCACTAGTATTTGTTATTTGTTAATTTGATTTGTGTCTTTTCTTTTGTGCTAACTTGTATTTGGTTGATACGTAGTAATTCGTATTTGTGTAATTTCTCTTCAACGCGATTTGATAGGAACTGCATTTATTAACTGTTAATTTTTGTTGTATTTTTTGTTTGTTATCTTTGTAATTTGTGCTCGAGCCGCGTTGTAATTTGTATTTAGTAGTGATGTCATCGCCCAAGCTACTGATCCGTTGTCTGCGGACTGAGTTGCGCTGGGCCACAAGCGCCCATGCTTTGATAGGTCGACCGGATAGGGTCCATAACTTGATGAAGCGGTTCGAGCAGGTGGATGCTCGAAGGGCCGCAGTGGAGGAGGCTTACGCTGAGCTCGAGGATTCGGATGTGGAGAAGGGAGTCCTGGACTCCTGCTTCGCGGACTATGAGCATTTCTTCTGGCTCACGGACGAGTTGATCGAGGCTGAAGGCAGGTATGCCGAGGAGGCGCGTGAAGCTCGGATGAGTGACTTGTCCGAGTCCTCTCTGAAGCAGCTTCAGCTGGAGCTGTTGGGACGACTCCCAACTCTGGACCTGCCAAGGTTCTCCGGGGTCCTTTCCGAATGGCTGACCTTCGTTGGTCTTTTCGACAGCCTAGTGGACGCCCGGAGTGACCTGACCCCGAGCCAAAAGATGGCGTACCTCCTGCCCTCACTGGAGGGGGAGGCCCTGGGCGTCGTCGGCCACTTGAGATTGTCGGACGACGCCTACCAGACTGCTCGGGACCTCCTAGCCAGAAGATACGCCAACGTCCGGCGAATTGCGGATGAACATGTTAAGCAGCTTCTAAGCCTCCCGCTGCTTAGTGACCGGGCCAGACTACGTCCGGACCTGTTGGATCCAGTCTTGGTGGCCTGTAATGCGTTGAGGTGGCTGGAATTACCAGTGGGCGAATGGGCTTTTTTGTTGCTCCGCATCGTGCTCTCCCGTCTACCTCTCGACCTTCGAATCCATTTTGAGGAGAGGTACGGCGGGGACGAGGCCTCCTATATTCCGCCCTTCTATGACCTGCTGCGGTTTTTGGAGGAGCAGTGCCGGCAGATCGAGAACGCGGCGGGCACCGTTGACGACTTACGAGACGTGCCCAGTGAGAGGCTGAACTCGCCAGGCAAATCGTCGTCAACCCCCCCCCCCCTGCTCCTATTGTCGAGCATCTGATCACCGGGTAACGTCGTGCCCGAAATTATTAGGTAAGCCGGTTTCGGCGAGGCGAACTATCGCCAAGGAGCGCCGCTGGTGCTGTTCATATCTGGGAGGGCACCTCCAGCGAGACTGTCCGCATCGACGGCCCTGTCTGCATTGCCAGGGCAAACACCATGCAGTTTTGTGCCTGGGTGCGAACGGCGTCTCCTCTCGGGGCTCTGCCAGGCCCTCGACCCCCACGGGCGGGGGCGCTCAGCCACGCCCTCTACCGGACGACAATTGGCGCCCGCCGGCCAGCCACCAGGCCCCTAAGTTTGAAAGGGGCCCCTCCCCCGACCAGTCGGGGGGTAATTCCCCCAGGGGCGGGGGTGTCATCACCCCCCCTCAGCGTGTGGAGAGGAACTTCACGGCCACTCATCGGTCCGCTGGACCCTTCTCACTCCCGTTAGCTGATTGGCCGCGACTGGTGTACCTCTGTTCCCCATTTGATGGAGGCGGCCCTGGCTAGCTGCCGCCTTAGCTCCTACCACGGCCACCTCCACTGAGCCTTAAGCCGTCAACAGTCCACTTGTCAAAATGTTCTGTTGCCGACGGCCTCAGTGAAGGCGTACAACCCGAGTGGCGACTGTTAGCGATCTCGGGTTCACGCCATTTGGCCTCCCCTTGGTGGTGGGAAGATTAGGGCCCCTCTGGAGCGTTGAATCACGCTGTCAAGGGGTATTAGATTTGGTTTGGTCGAGCACTTAGTCAAAAAATACTTAAATTAAAATTAAAAAATGCTTTGGGCTTTCCGCGAATTTTTCCTATTTGTAGCGGTTTAAATTAAAAGAATTGAATTTAATCTACTCCTTTAAATGCTACTGCATGTGTTTTGTACATATATTTAATCACTGTATTTGATTATTGCGTCTCTTTGCTGAAAGGAAATTGAATGGCGCGCTATTTGAAAAATTATGTAACATATACATAGATAGTGTTTAATCATTTTGCTTTGCGAAGAAGTAGGGCTGTCCCTTACGTTATTGTTTTGTTTAATTTGCAAGTTGACCTATGCGCATCGGTGATTAATTTGGTTGAATTAATTCTGTAGTTGAACATTGATACTTTTGAAAAATTAGTTGAAATATGAGCATAGGACTACTTGCCTAACAGGCTAGCTAGTTTTGGAGATTATCAGATTGAAATCAGCTGCCGCACTATTTTAGTAAATGATAATATGGTGGGTGGCCTGGCTAGGCCTACTTGTTGAAAATTCATACTAGGGACTATCTGTGTGTTTCGTTCGGCTCTCCACAGACGACGTTCATGTGGAATTTGTGGGTGCTCTCTGCCCTGAAGCTTAGGAGGCCGCTCGGGGCCGCTTCGTGTCGCGTCGCTGTTTGCAGAGCTGATCCGGTTGGATTGCGGAACTAATCATAGGGGCACAGATAGGTGTTTGAAAGAGGTCGTCGGACTTCTGTCCAGTACAGGACTTATTAAAGTGCTGCGATGCCCAGGAGGGGCATCCAGTGGAGGCTGACCCTCCGGCTTGCCACATTAGGGCTATCTTTTGAGGCGTTGGTTAGGGTTGCAAGATCTGATGGGTTGCCTAAGGTGGCCTAGTTTGGTTGTAGATTCGGTCTTGCAACTTGCCGTCGCGACCCTGTCCCGCTGACCGGTTTGCTCGCGGACCTAAATCCTTATGTCCGGGACGGGGGTTTGTTTACGCCCGAACGCTGATTTCGGGATTGACGTTAGAGGGCGCGCAGCTCGGCGATACCGGTTTGAAGTTCGGCCCAGCGTGGCAAGTGGCGCGCGGGTCGCAAGCGCAGCAATCGTCTGTAAGCGGTGCTGACGTGAGCACGCGGTCAATTCTGTTAGGGAACTCGGAATAATTAGGTGCGGCCCGTAAATATACGGTCTAGGATTTTGTGACGCGCATTCCTGCTGGAGAGCTTCCCGGGACTTATTGGGTCCGACTCAGAATCTGTATAAGTGCATTCGACAATATTAGCTAGTGCGGCCTCTGACATTCTAGAACTAACTGTTGCAACGCGAAACGGTAGCGACCTTTGGTCCAGAGGCTCCGTGTGTGTTTTGTGCGGTAACCTTATACCCCGCGATAGTTAGCGGCTTCTGTAAGTTAGTTAATCGCACGATAGAGTTAATTGACTGTCATCGTGAAGAACGAGGAAAGTGACTGTGGACAACCTCGGAAGCCCCCCTCAAGTTGGAGCGGTGTCGACGCTCGGGCTGCTGCCGACGGCCAAGGTCTAGGTTCAATCACCATCAGTCACACCCAGATACATATCACATCACTTATTTCCCTTTCACTACACAACCACATGTGACATGACCGACTCCGGAGGGACCAGTCGCCTTGGATATAGGTAAGTTAGCTCCGCCTAATTCCTCTGCCGGTCGACTGGCCGTAGTATAGAACGCTCCCCCATATATTTTAGTGTAATTCGAGAGATTCCACGTGGCCACATTGAGGCTCGACCTACGTCTGCTCGGGAAGTCTTCAGCTCATGGGCCCCTGAGGATTTGACCCTTTAAGGGAGCAGCCGTATGCCGTAACAGTCGGTATAGTCAATAGCATAAAAGTACCTGCGTTGTTCAAGAAATGGCATTTAACCAAAAAACCGCATAATTTGCATTTGTCACACTTGCCTCAGTCTACCTTATAATAAGTAATTAATTCTATGATATATAGTCTTCAATGCAGAATCCTTCGTTTTTATTCCGCAGGAGCGATGTGTTTCAAACTCGGTATATGATATTCACCAATTAGTCAATAATCTTATGATTATAATATTATTCTTATTTTCAACAATAAATGTTTGTATTTTTGAGGAAGGCCGCTATTAGCAGACTCATCGTGGAAGCCTTTATTATTTTTCTTTCCTCATTAAATTTTTAAAGGGTTATTTTAATGAGTGTGAGAAGTGAAATAAGTGAATGTGTAGTTTTTTGTCCATCTTTTCTTAATCCTTGTTATTTTTACAGGACTAGGTGATCAAAACGCAATTGTCGAGGCTGTAGCGTGTCTTCACGGATGTCAGCACATAGGAATGCCAGAAAGCGATGTATTGTTAGTTCAGTGTGCTGTTAGCCTCGCCAGGGCTCCTAAAAGCCGGGAAGTGTATGACGCTATGAAAAAGTGTCAACTCCACTTAAAAGAGACAAAAGGACCGCTTCCATCTGTACCGTTGCATTTACGAAACGCACCCACGAAACTTATGAAAGAATTAGGTTTGATTTTTTTTAATTTCGTATGTCAATATTTAGTGTGATGATTCCTCTTTTTTTATAGGATAGGGTGACAAACGAGCACACAGTCCACCTGATGGTAAGTGGTTGCTGTGACCCATAGACATCTACATCTATCCTCGTTTGCGAAACAAAATGCAGATGCGTCGTCACCCGTGAGGACTAAGATGGAATGCCTCTTTTCCAGTAAAATGTGTCTCCGGTTCTCTACACTCATCATACGAAACACAGCTGTGTCAAGCTGCCAATTTACGCTGGTATTCTGTGAGAGCGTGGTCCTTCCCCGGTCGAGCCGATCCATTACAACGATAGTACTAATATAGCTGCAGCGTGGCTCTACCACGTATAAAACCTCTTACCGGTACGTAAATATTCCTACTATGGACATGGGTCTAGTCTATAGTAAGAACGTTTTGAGGTAATCTGAATGCTTGCCAAGCAGATTGGCGGACTTACAAATTTGAGGTTTTTATACTGCCATCTTTCGAAGGCCACGATCTTCTGGACGTTCCCTAAATAAGCTTGTTACGACAGCCATGAGATGAGAATGCTTTTGGTTGCCTTCGGCATCGCGTTCTATGCAGTCTTCGATTACAGCCACCCATATCCTGTTTCAATGAGACGATTCTATACAGTGTTATCATTATGTAAATTGACTACAGATAGAATATTAAAATTTAATATCTTTCAAAAATCAATTCTGATTCTGTCCTTGCTCTTACAGTCATTGCCAATTATATTATGTGGTATTAAATCCGAGTACCTTACCTGTGAGTCTGAGTTTCATGTAATGTTACCGTTACAGCCTATGAAAGTCAACTGCTCAACATTCGATTCTATATAGATTGCCTCATAGGGGGGATATTTGCTATAGTTGCCACGTTTGTCAAAGGGTTGGCAACCGCAGTTTTTTATTTAATATTACTAATACTTATAACTTTATACTAGTTTTCAATATACCTAATAAATTTGAATGAACTTTCTTATATTTACGCGATCGCGTTTATTTTAGGATTTTTTTTTTATTTGAAGTGACACGAATTTGCTGTTCACCTGATACCTGATGGTAATTGGCTTCTGTAGACCAAGGACACTTGCAACCAACTCCAAACAAAGAAGGTTGCCTCACTGCCTATAATAAAACGAATCTTTATACATCAAAGGCTTTGGCGGTTAATTTGGACATAGCGAAGACCTTGGATCGGGACCCTGGAAATTACCTCTTATGGGCTTTCCAAAAAATTATGCAATTGTGTCACCAGTCTTCTCGGATATGGGAGCATCAAGGTCGTAGCCGACGGGGTGTGCTCGAATTTAAAGCCTGTGTATGCTGGTGTTCCACAAGGTTCTGTGCTATCGCCTACTCTGTTCCTTTTGAATTATCAATGATATGTTGCATAATCGTAATGTTCATTGTTAGGCAGACAATAGATAGCACTGGCGATATACCGACCTTGGTAATATTTCTCAGGAACACGTAGTTGAGTACTGCAACAAACTTGTGTCTGAATTAGAGTATTTTCTTTGTTGATTGGGGGCCAGAAAATGTAAGTAATTCAGTTTAATGCTTCAGAAGACACAGGCTTGCAAGCAGAGCAGGCAAAGAGATAAAAATACATAGGGAAGTAAGTAAGACAAGACGATCCCTTGTCTCCCAAATTATTCATATCAGTACTAGAAAATATTTTCAGAAATTGAAATTGGGAACATGCAATAAAATATCTACGGAATTAGTGTTGTTTGATCTATCCTCACGCATTTAAGTTTCGATGATTTGATTATTTTTGTCAAAACAACAATCAAACTAGAAGAAATAATAAACGTTTTTACAAGAAAGTGTTATAGTATGTCTTACGATAAACATTGAAAAAGTAAAATAAAACTTAACAATAATTTAAAATTTTATACAACCGAATTCAATATAAATTATCAAGAATAACTCAAAAATTATTGGTCAGACTGGGACCACAAGAGAAACACCAGCTTTCAAATAAAAAAAAATCGGTTCACACAGAAAAAAAGTTACGAGGTAACACACTTAAAAACATACAATTGAATTTAGTACCGTCTCCTTTTTGAATTTGGTAGAAAAAGTAAAACCGACTTCAAATCGCTAAAAAAGAAGTAATTTATTTGCAACCCTTAGGGATGTTTTAAATTTATACGGGACCACCCCTGAAGTATAATCTATTTAATAAAAAAGAATCATTAAAATTGGTTCTTTATCTGCGAAGATATCATAAGAAATTCCTTAAACAATAGTCCAATATGAAACTTATTCCAAACATGAGGGCGGAATTTTTTCTTCAAAATTTAATGGCAGCACCCTTGAGGTAAAGCCTATTTAATTAAAAAAGAATCATTAAAATCGGTTCACAATCTGCGAAGATATGGCGTAACATGCGTACAAAAAAACATACACTCGAATTGAGAACCTCCTCCTCCTTATTAAGTTCCCGTTAAAAAGAAAAATATCGTTACTTATAAATTATACCAATTATGTTGCATAAACTATTTCTCTTCAGATAATTACGGCTTCCGGAGTAGGTACTTATATACTATTAGAGAATTTTGTATCTTGGTGTAGTATCCTGGCTTTTCTAGGTTGTGTATGTGCAAATACTCAGAGTTAGAAAACGCCGAACAACCGCAGATATCACACCTAAGTGATTCAACGAAATAGCAATAAACTCGACGTGCCATTTTTTAGGATGTATGTCCGATAAATTGTTGGTCTTAATATCCTGATCTTGTATCGCAGACAGAACCCGCGGTTGGTAGAATGAGGATTAGAAGTAGAACCTCCCGCTCCCGTGGAGCTCCTTCTCGTCCTATTCGGTCTCCCGGTCGGAAATGCTCTGTATCGCCACGTCCTGCCATTGCTTGTTCGATAAGGATAAAGGGGTAAGCCCTTTATCACACGAAATGACGTCTGTGTAGAATAGATCATCCGATCTCGTCAGGAAATAATTACGGAGGCTGCACACTTGCCCGACAATAATTAGTAATTAATTAATACTGCATAGCATGTTTGTCAAACGTGCAAAAAACATTGCGAACTGTTTCACGTCCGCCTCATCGATAATTAAGTTGTGTGACATATCCAAATATCAGTATGGTTCAGCCTCGGAAAGGGTCCCTTAAGTTGATGATAGACTTATGTATGCCCTCAGTTATTATTATTTTCACTAAATAATCGTGTAATGTGGCTGCAAAATTGTGTAAAATCAGCTGTATAGTTAACTTCTTAGCTGTTTAATTTTATAGCTCTTAATGAAAGCATTGTAAAAGGAAGGTTCAAGTTCGAGTGTGAGGACTTATTTTAAGCAAAGAGCCTACTCCTTTTTTAAAGGCCGACAACGCATCTGCAATTCTCCTGATGTTGCAGTTGTTCATGGGCGGCGGTAGTCACTTACTATCAGGTGAGCCGCATGCTCGTTTGCCTATAAAAAAACATACTTCATAAAAAACAGAAGGTTCTCAATGAGGGCTAATACTCTTACGCTCACGAGATGTCGCTAGTTGGAACTAAGGTGAACTTATCACGCAGATGGTCACACGGTGTCATCATCATTGAAAAGTTGCGTTTTAAAAAAAGCTTTTCAGATTCTAGTGTATGTATGTATATACACAAAACTGTGCCTCAGTGGTATGTTCTTTAATTTTTTAGACATTTATGACTTTATTTTCTAAATCTTCTTTTAGACTTATCCATACTTTGGTTTATCCATTTCTAATTATGTATTACAATATTTTCTTTTCATTAGAATAGAAAATGTAACTAATATATATAGCACACAGTTCACCTAATGGTAAGTAGTGACACATAGACAATAAAGCATTTTTATCCTCAATAAAAATCAAAATGCAGATGCGTCGTCACCCATGAGGATTAAGATGGAATGCCTCTTTTCCAGTAAAATGGGTCTCCGGTTCTCTACACTCACCATATGAAACACAGCAGTGTTAAGCTGCTATTTTACACTTTAATTTCACCGTTATGAGATATGTTAAATATTTCACCTCATTCCAAAGTGGCGCCACCCTGGTGGTAGAAAATGTCGTGAATGCCTACATTCGACCGTATGTTTTATTTTTTGGGGTTTATTGCTTAAGAATTGTTTCATATATTTCGTACGGGTATGAAAAAGGGATGGGCTACTTAAGCCCACATTGCCAACCAATTTATGATTTTTATTTATTAAATAGGATATACTTCCCATGGTCCCATGTAAATTTGGGAAAAAAATTAGAGAATCTATCACTATAATATTATATACCTAGATTGTTCCATGGGTGACGTAAGAGACGACTGTGAAAAATGCCAAAATATTCCACGACTTCCGATAGATGGCGGTACACTCGTACTTAGATCGGAAGGTGTGACATCAGCTGCTTACTGCGACTGGAAATCCGCGGAAAGCTTTTATGACTTTCGGAAGACATTCATGGGCTGTTGATGGAGAGATTTCGTCGAAAGCTTCCATCAATCAAGTACCTATAGTGATGAATCATATCACTTATGAGCCGACCATTTATTACGATACTATGTCGTTTATACAGCACGCCACCTATATACTAGGTACATTTATTTATTATACATACTCTGTAAACATCTAGAAACCTGTCTATAATAATAAAATATAGGTCTTACATTTGCAGGTGGATTCGGATTTATACTTACGTGTGAATACGGATCAGCTGTTACATTTTCTGCGAATACTGAATGTTAATTACCTAATCTTTATATATATAAAAATTACGTGTCACGTTGTTTGTCTGCGATGAACTCCTAAACTACTGAAGTGATTTCAATGAAATTTTGCACACTGTATGCAGTTTGGTCAAACTTGATAGGATAGTTTTTATCCCGATAAATGACCCTCAAATTTTTTTATTGCGAACCTAAGTATTTTTAAAGGACGGGTCGCTGGAAAGGGCAGAACAACGTCTGCCTGGCGGGCTAGTATTATTATAATATCCAAGACAGGATTTTAGACTACATGCCGTTTAACGTGTTCGTAGGTAAATACCAAATCAATTCAACATAGTTTGGTTCGTTCCTATCCTAATTTTACGGAATATAGATAAATATGTAGGCATTTACATGATAAAATAAATGTCGTCCTTCCGAATTAATATAAGCAATTTTTATTTTGGAAAACAATATATAATATCCTGTCTTGGTGTATCATTCGACTAAGGAATCTTGTGGCCACCTACGACAGAAATCGGCTTCTAAAGTGCAAAATGGCTTGCACTGTATCGCAATTTCTATGTCAAGCTTGAAATCCATTATTTTAGGAAAGGCACATTATTTTGCAGTAGACTGTTTATCTTGTGATGCAGTATATTTTAACCAATATTTTTTCTTTTCTTTTAGGATATGCGAAAGGCTACAACCTTCTTCATAAAAATGAGTCTGGTCTAAGTTATATGCCAGAAGGTATGGAAAATGTTAACTTTTTAAAATTGAAATAAAAACCATATTAAAACAAAGACTCGATTTTTGATTAGGGAAAAACTTACAATTTTGTTTTAGATTGAAGATTAATCTTAAACGATTCTATGAAAGAAGATAGATGTTCGTCAATTTTTTGTGAAAATTGCATTTATGATTGCAAATATGTTAATAAATTATTACCTTTGAAACTATGTTTCATTTTGTTTAAAGTGAAAAATGAAGATAATCCTAGTGTCAATTTTTTTATTTGGGATAATCTCGTTTTACAATTGTATGACATGGTAAAAATTTACTATTTACAAGGCTTCACACATTACTTTAACATTACAAATTTACCTATAACATTGTACCATTTGTTAAACTGTCAACTTTTGCCATAAATTTCGATCTTATGTATATAAAAATAAAATAACAATTATTTACTTTACAACATTTACTACTTGCACATTGTGCACAATTAATTACTCAAGAAGTCATTCTTACAATGCCTAAAGACTTCACATGACGACATTAGGTGACAAGTATCTTACATGAACAAAATAATTTTTTTGTTTATTTCCACTCATCAATTTGCTAAAAGGGTAGGTAATCTAATGATATTAAAGAAATGAAGAGCTTATATACAAATTTTAGGTAATGACAGTGTGTTCATTTATATACTTTGTAGTTCACCACATTTTTCATTTGTTATGATGATAAAAATGAAAAGTTTACACAAATATGTGTTTTCTTATGTCAAATAAATTCATTACTTTCCACTATTTCTATGTTCATACAATTTACAGTAATTAAGATGAAGTACATGATACTGAAATGGTGGAAGTTTTCTTGACAAGATTGCACTTCTGCACAGACTTATACTAGACTATGTCTAACTTAACTAAACTACAAGCAAATTCGAAACTAATATTATAAAAGATAAATTAGAATCAGACTTCTAATTTGAATCCTAATCACGGGAGGAACAATAATAAATTACAGTAATGCTGTATAATTTGTATTTAAATTTTGAAATAATCTACTAGCTAACACGCATGCTTCCAAATTTAGACCTGGTCATAAGTTCATAAAATAATAAATAAGTATTATGTAAAAACATAAAAAATTTGTATAAAGTGGAACGTTTGCAGATATAACAAAAATATAGTGTATAGCCAATGCTAAAATGTAACTTAAAAGATATACTCCGGACCGGCCATATCAATAGCCCAACGGAACTTATCACGCTGTGTTTTGTTGTAGATTTTTTCAATGGGGACACCATGCTTTTTGCACCTGAAATTAACATTAGATTAACAGATTTATCTTTTTCTATATTATTTAAAACACATGTCAACACCATTTATAGTATTTCACAAAAATTACATACCAAGCAACTGAGATACGAGGGTCAAGATAGTTGAGCTTGGAGGTACCTAGTGCAATAGTTTTATTTTCGTCACGATCAGTTTCTTGTAGTTCCAATTTCTTTAATTGCTCTTTCAATCTCTCTAAAGCCTTTTTCTTTTTATCACAAGCAATTTTCTCTTTTACAGACCCACGTTTAGCAGCCTTTGTAGCTTCTCTTAAGTCCTCTTCTGCCTCATCAACTTGATCTCGTTTGGCTTGTATTTTTTCTTTTAGAGCTTCCATTGATTTTGAATGACCTTAAAAACACAAAATGAGGGTTTAAAAAAAGATAAAAAAACCTATAATATTGCATAGCATACAAATAATATAAAAAATAATTACCTTTAGGTACAGCACGTTGGTGATTACAAAGCACAGCAACTGCTCGATTTGCTCTATTGTATGCCAAAATCTTTTCAGGTATGGAGGCATCAGGATCGGTAAGCTCATCTAACTGTCTTTGTAAGGTAATAGAAGCATTGTAAGTACGAAAGACTTTAGCCGTTAATCCTGGCATCAGATCTTTCAAATGTTCATTAAGTGTTTGGGTATTAAGTCTATCAAACAAGTCATCACTGTCTTTTTTATTCTCCATAAAGAGCTCGAGATTCTTAAATACTCTTTTTTCTACTGGCACTTCATTATAATATCTAATAGAATCTTTACCAAGGAAATCAAATACAACTACATACTCCTTACCATCTTTCTCTTTGTGTAATTGAATATGTTCAACTCTTAATGAACAACAACCTACTGTATCAGCTTGGTCATCATCTTTTTCATTACCAGCTCTTAATGCAAGTCTATCAATAAAATATAGGGCAACTGCACGCTGCCGAACACGCATTTCCTTTGCTTTCCAGTCGCTGCGATATGTGTCTCGAATTTTATCAATGCATTTATGAAGCTTTCTAGCAGTTTCATACTTTTGCCAGTCTTTTTCACCTTTTAACTTTGAACTAGGATTCAACATTACATACTTTGCTTGCCCCTGAACATTTTCTGTCCAAGATGCCAACCAAGTAACAGTATTGTCATGCCGCACCTCCTTCCATTTGTGTCCAGGTGGAGCTTTAGGTATTTTACTGTCTTTTGAACAATTTATCAAAACATCTTCAGGCATAACACGTTTTTTTAACATGCCCATTTTAGGATGTTCACCACGACCCCTAAACAGCCCTGGGGGCTCTATCCTAAAGTTCCCAATTTTTTCTTTATGTCCATCTATTGTACAAAATCCATACTCTTTTTGTATTTCTTCATTTTTGGCCTTCAATGCAGCTTTTTCCTCCTTTGTACGATTTCTGTTTTTCTCTGCCACACTGGCAAAATATGCACTCATTTCTTTAAAATCACATTTTGAGAGATCCTTAATTAGTTTAGCTTCTTCATGGGTCATAACTTTACGCCAATCAGCAAAAAAGTTGTTATTGAAGGTAGCCTTGGTAGTGTAGTCATGATCCAACATGCGAGCATAAAATCCGGCAACTTCTTCAGCATCTTGAGATAATTTAATAATTTTTCCATCATATCGAAATTTGACATTTTCTGGTAAAGGTTCATAGTCTGGTGCAAATAAGGGTCCCTTATGTTCTAAGAAAGTCCACTTTGTTCCATCATCCTTCTTTTCTTCTTCCCACCTATGATAACAAACATAAATGACGTTAATGTAGTCCTTTTTAAGAAACATATTTAATAAAGAATAAAATAAGGTTACTTTAATATTTCTGAAAATTTAAATTGTTTAAATATTAACAATTTATGAGAACTAATGCAAACAGTTGTTCTTATCCGAAATAATTTGATGCCTAATGTAACAAACATTTTATTTCATGAATAAGCTTAACCTATAAACATTATGTCACTAGTTTTGATGGCTTGTTTTTTTTTAATATTTACAGGCAAAGGGATCTATGCCCATACAGCCTAGTTTCACAAGTATTTTATCCTTTTTTTTTAACAAAACTGCTGCAGCCTTTGACAACAGCATAATTTGCTGATAGCCGATAATGATAGCATGTCAGACGTCAGAATCGTCACAGCTTGAATTATTAAAAAAATAAGTAAAGACCGACGGCAAAGCTTCATAGTCATACTTCGCTATGATAGGTACGTTACTATAAGCTTAAGTGCTTGCTCATGTTAATTCGCGGGCGCGGTGGCGGACGCGGTCACTAAATATCAAACAGCATTATATGCAAGTGTTTGCATACAAAACGCATGTGCGGTGGAAGTAGCGAGCAAGCTGCGACGATCGCGCACGGCGCGCTCTCAGCAATATCATATGTTTAAAGTTGTTTGTGTGTGTTCACGTCGAACTAGTGGCGAAGCGCGCGTTTGACTCGCGACTTAAAGTAAGATCAACAATTTTGAACTTGTCGCTACAAACGATCAACCATTCAACCCAATGGACTCGCGATTATCAGCCTCTGCCAATTCTTTATTAATTTCTTACACACCACTACTACTTTTTGTCATCTCCTATTAGCATCATTACCACTTAGCACATCACCGCTTACTACCACATGGGATTGTGGTCAAGCACTGGCGTATGATAAGTAAAAAAAATAAATGCTACGGAAATTCAATTATCAATATTATAATGATTATCAATAATTATGCTTCATTTATTCAGTGATGTAAGTCTAATGAGATGTTTTAATATGCGTTGAGTCTGGCCAGGACTTTGTATACTACATAAACTATATTAGAAAATAGTATTAATAAATAATTTAATAATTATACATTTCTTGAAATGCATTTGTTTACTGTTTGAAAATAAGATTTTACACTTTAAATTGTCATACACAACAGATACATCGTTTGATCAATGACATTTGACATAATAATTTCGAGGTTGTAGAAAAGAACTGGAGAAACTCAAACAAATTAAACACAATCAATACTAATACCAAAAGTTAACTTCAATCTATGGCTGAGATACCATATTGGTAGTTTACTAAATAATAATTGATTAATAAATCATTTTGAACCACAGCCAAACTGCAGCCAGTGTTTTTGCCACTATACTGCAGGGAGTAGGTAGGACTGTATGATAATTTATGATTTTTATCTATACAAATAAATAAAATTGAAGTGTCTGTGTGTAATGTCAAAATTAACGCTTTTTACTAATTCATAAGGAGTAACTTAGGCTACTTTTATTTTAGAAAAAAGAATTAGGGTTCCGCGCAAAAACATAAAAACCCTAACATGCGAGCGAAGTCGCAGGGAACAGCTAGTTATGGTAATAAATATTGTATATTTGATTATTGGTGTTTTTCTGATTTACATGGATATTACAGTTTAAGATAGTGTACATAGACCTGGCCCATTTTGAAACATCTAATTTTAAGGAAATATTCAGAATGATTGTAACATTAGAACTCAAATTTAGACTAGACTACTTTTATCTGACTATTGAAAAACAGGCCTTCAGGGGAATAAAATAAGTTACCATTTCCACACTTCTTGTTCTTCCTCCTGCTTTTTTTTACGCTTCGTTGGGCTAGGACCATCATCTGTTTCAGTTTTCACTTTCACAGGTCTAGTCTTTTCAACCTTCTTCTTTTTCTTTTTTGGGACATCATCATCATCCTCCATGTCATCATCATAATTAGTTTCTGAA